AGAAATTTAATGGAATGTTTTATATAGGGAACATTGATGAAGTAATGTTTAATTTCTTTGTGTCTGTGGAATTAAAGAGGTGGCAAAATGGAGGACATGTGTTAAAAATAGGTGCATTCGAATAGAAGAAAAATAATTTTTTTGGAGGACAAATGGTAATTTACTATTCATCCTATCAATTATCTAAGGCAACAATGCATAACAGATTATATCCACAAAATATTATCTTGTGTCAATCATACACAACAAATAAAGTATACATCATATTTCTACAATGCAATCTTGGTAGACATGATAAAAATTATCTTGTCTCGTCCACCCTAACAAGTAACAAACGTGCTCTTAGAGTTTTGCAACTTCAATTAAAATTTGTAGCAAATAAAAAACTGTATTACTTAAAAAGTCACAATTTTGCTATTTGTGATCTCGTGATGACATTGCAGATCCAGAATATAGATCAATGCACTTTTCTTGTTGAATTGCATCTAAAAAGACCTTATATTCCTCGATTGAGTGACCTTGAAACATGGGAGATATAATCTCTGTCTCTCCCTCTCTCTCTCTCTCTATCTCTCTCTCTCTCTCTTCTCTCTCTCACACACACACACAGACACGTATGCTTTGACAATCTTATTTGATATTATCCACAAATAGTGGCAGCATTACTTTATCTAGATTGAGAATTGTCACCTCAAAAGTTCTGGTCATTGTTTATACGGTACCTTTGGCAGCAGAAGAATGTATTTGACTTGCACAAACTACTCAATAAATACCTAAATCATGAGCCAGATATGCGACATTTGATCTACTTATAGCAAACATTAGTTTGAAAATTAGTGAACCCTACTGATATGGGATACTATACTAGTATATATTAGGTCGTGTGAGACCTAAGAATAGTTCGATCGGTTTGAATGCAACGGCAGATTGGCCAGACGATAAGAAGGATATGAAAGAATTCGGATCAAGAGAAAGCCCTTTCCATCATCAGTTAGCTGTTTTCGCTCCAGACGGTCGTCGCACGAGCTGACGGATTACGTAAAGGTCGTGAAACCACAAGGTTGATGACGAACCATCAAGCAAATCGGTTCAACAACTGTTCAATCTAAGGCTCTCAGATAGCCTAATGGAAAATCGATCTGGAAGCCATTAGGTCTACATAAGACCTAAAAGGAAGTCTTACTCATTAAAGGTCAGAACAACCTAGTTCAAGAGAAACTGAGCTAATAGCATAATTATGCTATCTAATAAGGTAGACTAATGTGAACACACCATATAATAGATAAGTACGAATACAAATTGGATAACAAAAGCATGTGGATAGGACCACGTGGCTAATAGAATTGGCAGTTCGGGCACCTGGGCAGTACTATGATACTATCGGGTAGTTCGGGCAATAGATCAGCCCAATCGGGGGCAATACAGTTCTTCATCATCTTCATCTCTATTTACTGACTTAAGAATTGGAACTTCTACGCAAGTGTTAATCAGATGCTTCATTCCTAAGTAGGTCGGTTAGCATGGACTTTCTTCTGTTTTGTACAACACTAACCTTTCGTTAGTCTTAGGCTTATGGTGCACGAACATTGTCTTCATGTAGATTTCGTGTAAAATTTATGGACTTGTTTCTTGACTAACTTTTATCTGATGCTATTTCTTTCCTTTTGGCATCATCCCTTATAAACAGAATAAACTTGTGGGAGCTACATTGGAGTTAATCATTGGAAAGAGTTTTATTTTGATATTTCTAACGTTTACCTATTTTTGTTTTCTTTTGATACCCCAATTTCAACTTAATCAATCGTGCCACTCTATGTTTTGTACGTTAATTACGTGTGACTGGTATTCATTTGATAGTTGAATAATGTTTAATTGAACATATAATCTTTGGAACTTCATAAAAAAACATATTTTTAAAATATGTCTTTCTACGTAGCTCCCGATTGCCAATCGATATTCTGAATATGTGGCAAAAGTTTCTATATGCCAATTATTTTTGGAACTTTTTCGGTCAATTTTTATGGTCCTAAGTTCACATTGATAATTGAGATATACCATTAAGAAAAAGATCAACAACTTAAACTTTGATTAATCTTCATTCAACCAATGAATGTGATTACTATATGAAATTTAGGGTTTCAAAATTAATCAACATGAAAGTTAGATACAAGAAGCCAAAAAAATAAATAATTTCTCATTACTTACTTTCTTGATCGGAACTTCCAAAAAGAAANTATATATATATATATATATATATAAGGAAAATACCAACCATTCAAAATTCACCACCAAATTCAAAGATCGCCCCTATAAAAACAACTTGTAAGGTAGAAAAATAATCAATAAATTGAAAAAAGGAATTGCCCAAAAACTATTGCAAAAAAATCGTTCCACCATCTCTTCCCCCACTCCTAATAATTCATCCTTTATAAATAGCCCTAACCACATACCATCTCAAAATCATACACATAACAAGAGAAGAAAAAAGAAAAAGAAAAAATAAGAGAGAAACAATTATTAAAAAAAAAACACAAAAGAATAAAGAAAAACATTAAACAATGGCCAAGGTTGTAGCTCTCGCATCCGCCCTCTACATCTTGGCCCTTGCCGCCATCTCTAACGCCCACAACAACCTCTTCTTATTCAATGTCGAGGGCGACGTCTACTGTGACCCGTGCCGTGTCCAATTCGAAACCGAGCTATCACAAAAGCTTGTCGGTAATAATTATCTAACTAAAATTTATATCGAAATTCCAAACACAACTTAACATCCGACAAGTTGTAGCTATTTCTACACAGTTCATGCACGATGTCATGCATAATGATAATGATGTACATATCATCCGCGGTGTCATGTTGTGTTATTTTAAATATTATATCTAGATTATATTTGTCATTATTTTATAAAAAATATATATATTTGCTTCGCAATACGTGAATCTAACAAATTTTAGCTATTTCTACGCAGTTCGTGCGCGATGTCGGGCATAATGATAATGATGTACATGTCACCCACATGGTGACATGTTGTATTATTTTAACTCTATATCTAGATTATATTGGTCATTATTTTATAAAAATTATATATTTACATCAAAATACGTGAATCTGACTAATTTAAGCTATTTCTATACAGTTCGTGCGCGATGTTGTGCATAATGATAATGATGTACATGTCACCCACACGTTGCATGTTGTGCATAATACGTGCAAGTTGCATGTGCCATGCAGGTGCCACCGTGCGCCTGGAGTGCAGACACGCGGACACCAAGACCGTGATCTACTCGTTGGAGGGGATCACGGGCCCCAACGGGCACTACAACCTCTCGGTGGTCGGGGACCACGGGGATGAGATTTGTGAAGTCTCAGTTGTCAATAGCCCGAACAACGAATGCAACGAGCCGTTGGGCGAGAAGTCGAGGGTTGTGCTATCTAACAACGATGGCATGCACTCGACTGTGAGGATCGCCAATGCTATCGGGTTCCAGACAAAGACTGCCCTCCCACAGTGTGGGCCCGTCCTCTTCAACATGGGCGTTGTCGTTGAATCACGATAAATATGCTTTTTTTTTGTTCAATTTCTCTCATATTTTATAATTATTTAATTATCATTTATTACAAAAATTTTTGTCTGTTTTGTTTATGAATGAGGGAAAGATTTGCTTCTCATGTTGCTATGTGTATCTATCCATGTGACAATAGAAAAGAGAATGAAATGAACTGATTAGTTGTTGTTTTTCTAGTCATGAGGGTGTAACTTTTTTGTGCTTTCCATAAAATAAAGATTTGTTTTGGATTAAATATTATTTCTGCAATATTTGTTTGTATGGCTAAATTGCAAAAATTGTTTACTTTTTTTAGTTGTAGTACGGTGAAAAATTGGTTCACTATCTACACGGGATAACAATTATGGTTTTGATGAATATCATGGTCAGTACAAGGGATAACAGTTATGGTCTGATGAATATCATGGTCAGTACACCCCAGCACCTTTACACTCCAGCATTATACATCAATGGCTCATGCAGTAACACGACAACAATGGAGGGTGGCTCATGCACTGTCATGCAAGCTGGCCGAATTATTTCTATACCTTTTTTGTTATTATCTCTTGTTTTTGTCATCTATGATTGGGTGTCTTGTTTTTAGATACCTCATAAGGCTACACTTGTCACAACTATATATAGCTATCTTTGTACTCAAAACCTTATCGTCATTCAATGAACAATATGCGCCGCATAGCTCTGAAACATTCACCATGATTTTCAGTGAAATTCAACATGGTATCAAGGGCTTAGTGTTAAAATCTATAACATGTTTTCATTATTCTTATTTTTCTGGCCACATTTTATTTTTTGTCTTCTTTTCTTATGCAACATGAATACTATTAATCCTACCATAAATGTTCTTCTAATCTCACCATTTGTTGTTCAACCTCGGAGTCAAGTAATCACCGTAAAGCTTCCAGAAAACAACTATTTAGTTTGGAAACAAGTTTTGGCTACAATATGTGGTTATGGTCTGGAATCCTTCACAGATGGATCTGCGAAGAGACCAAATCAATTTGTCAGCCCTGAATCTAGTCAAAAAGTTACCAATCCCCAATTTGTGAGCTGAAAAAGATAAGATCAACTTTTCTTCTCTTGGATCTTATCCTCTCTTAGTGAATCGATCATCGTAACTACTGTAGGGCTAGCCACATCTAGAGAGGTCTAAGAAGCTCTTGAAATTAAGTTTTTCTTCTCAATCTTGAACAAAAATTATACATACTACATCTCCAAACCTTAAAGAATGGAGGCATATGCCCATGATAGATTTTCTCAACAAAGTCAACTATTGTTGTGATATGTTGTCAGCTGCAGGACAAAGAGTAAGTTATGAAGAGCATATCTATTATATCCTCACTGGTTTATTATGTGATTACAATTCAGTGATGGTTATGTGAATGCCAGATTTGAGCCACATACTATTTGTAAAGTTCACGCATTTCTTCTAAGCTTTGAGATCATACTTGAGGGATTGGATTCCTTCTATATGACTGGCTTGGAAGAAACTGCCCCAGTTGTCAATGTCCTAACACAAGAAGGAGGAAAAGGTATAAAACTTTTCTTAATGAAACAGAGTCCCATGAAATGGTCAATACTTAAATGTTAGACACAATAGAGGAAGGAACACCTTTGGTAGAGGAAAAAGAAGATTCATTAATAAGATGACATGTCATATTTGTCACAGAAACAATGATACAACTAAAAAAAATATTTCTTTAGGTATGATCTTGGCTACACCACCAACACCAACTCAAATGGATCTTCTTCGTACAACAATTGTATGAATGTGGCTCGAGTCCAGTCAACTCTCTCTATCAACAATACCAGCAGCATCAATGACCCTAGCCAAGATCATTCTTGTTGGTTTCTAGATTTTAAGGTAACCAACTATGTTACTTATGACCTTGGAGATATGAATCTTGCTTCTGCTTATCATGTACATGACAAGGTCCAAATTGGAGATGGATCAGGTTTTCACATATCTCATATTGGTTTTTTTTACATTAAGTCGCATGCCAACAACCCAAATAGCACCACCTTTCTTCTTAAATATCTTTTACATGTTCCCTACATCACTAAAAACCTAACATACCTCATATTTCATGTTCTTCAACCTTACTTTTTTTCTAAATGCAGTTAGAGCTCCTTATTTAAAGTTAGAAATTCAGGGAGAATAGCAACATGTCGATCTAAGAGACATGAAAAGGGACATCTTAGATGAATTTTACACATTAACAATTTTCCCAATACAAATTCCTGTGAGTGCTGCCTAATTTACTAATTCGCAAGAAGTTTTCTATTTGAAAGGGGTTTCAATATAGATCTCCGGAGTAGATGGCAATTGATATAGGAATCTTTGTTCATAACTTCCATTATTCATATTGCCTCCAACATGAAACTTGTGTCCAATATAAATTATTGTGTGAGCTAGGTAGACATGCAGCTAAGTTTGGGACATTCAAGCAACTGGATTTTTAATTTTGTGTATCATTTTGTAAAAAGCTATTATTTTTCTTGAGTCTATGGGATATTCAAATGACCGAGTTCTTAATATTGTATATCATTTCATTTTTTGTATCAGTTTGTATCAAAACAATTGGGATTTTAATTTTGTATATCCTTTTTTTAAAAGCTTTAGGTAACTTACTTGAGTCTATGAGGCATTCAAATGACTAAGCACTTAATTTTGTTTATCATTTTGTAAAAATTCGAAGGTAATCTATAAAAGTAAAAAATTTTGTAATTAAACAAAAATTTATCAAGTGATGTTGGAATGCATTTTTGCCTATTTTCTTTCTCCTCATCTGAAAATTGGATCAATGGCATTTTAATATATATATATAATTAATGTGATCGCTCAAAAAAACTACAATAAACAATAGTAGTAGATGATATAGGTAGAGTGCAACTTCTATAATTTGTTATAGGTCTCAATTGGCTAATTGGTTTTTTATTTTTTATTTTTTTTATGGAGCCTCAATATTCCACTTAAAGTGAAAGCATTTTGTAGTGTTTATCTTAAGATATTATCTCGAGAGAACTCAACATAGCTTTACACCATGTCCTTCTCATGGTTGTAAACTTTGTGGATATGGGTGAGACTCGACTATTGGTTCTTTTTTCCAGTGTTATTTTGCTCAAAAATTGTGGAAAGAGTCACTATTCTATATTTTATATAATCTTTTGTTCATTACTTTTGTCTATGGATGCAGCATAATCTCGACACGGCGGATTTCACAATTTTTGCTATCAAAGTGTGAGGATGGTGGACGGAAAGACAAATGGGACTCCATTCGTTTGGTAACCGAAATTTCTTGAATAAGTTTTGTTAGAATATCACTTGTGAGTTGTCCTACATCGTCCATACATGGAAAATAAATCCATTTTGTAAGTCTAATGGGTCACTCCTTCTTCCACCAATTGGTTTTGGGATGGAACCCCACTTTGGCTTCATTTGGGTTTTTTCCCGTTCATCGTGCGCTTCATGATAGTGGACCCGCACCCGTTTTCTCCCAGTTTCTGTCATGTTTATTGAGTACTTAAATTAATTATTAAGAACAATGGGATCGATTCAAGGCTTAGTGAGTGGGGCTGGCAAAAAATTGATATCAAATAGAGGAAGCCATCGGATGAAGACTGAATGTTGATACTTCATAGGATGACATAAAGGGTCTTTTAGCCATTGATGGAATTTTTTGAGATTTGCTAGGGCAACCTAAGGTGGTGTTGGATCGCAAAATAAAGCACGTTAGTTCAGTGCTATAAAAGGGGTTACTAGCTAGCATTGGGGGGCTTAAAATTGCTAAAGAGAACAACTTATTCACAGTCCAAGTGAAACAGATTTCATTGGTGTTGTACAAGCGGACACAACAATCCTACAAGGAGTTTCTCTTGTGTTGCAACGTAACTGCAACTAACATTATTTTTTTCGATCCGTGGGGTAGTTACAACTAACATTAAGTGAATATTAGATAAATCGACTAATTCTTATATTTCTCATGTTTCTATTTTTCTTAAACGATAATATTATATAAATAAATTAGAACCAATACAAATGTGCAACAAAACACTCATTAAACAGATGAAGACTACCAGAAGGGAAACCTAACTAATGCACACAACACCCACAAATGTGCAACAAAACACTCCAACAATGGAGACTACACACTTAGACACATCTGGGACTAACAATAATAACAATAATAATAATAATAATAATAATAATAATAATAATAACACCTAAAACATTAATTAAATAAACTTCCCTACTTCAAGACCTACCGCTGTTCCCGTACACCCCAACACACAGACTAGTACTACAAATCTGAGGCCCCCATATCTAAAAACTCCAATTTCACGAAAGACTAGTCAAATCTGACAGAGAGACGCATCTCGAGCCCAGATCTGAGTCCCCAAAATTGATGCCACATATTATTTTTCTTTTTCTTCTTTTAAACTTCCCACTTTGTCTAGGAGAAACTAGTACGTAGCCCGTGTGATACACATGGAAATAATTATAATTGCATGTATTAAATAAATGAAGGAATATTGATTAGTATAAAATAATGTTGAATTTAATGATATATAATGATTTAATATATGTCTATTTCACTCGTTATAAAACAGTGTCATTTTAGATCTTGTTTATAATTAAGTAAATGAAAATTTAACATATTCAAATATTATCAATAAATAATAGTCACAGAATATTTCTCTCCCTCTATCTTCTCTTACTCATACCTTGTTACAATATTCTATTTCGATTTCCAACTAAGTTACGCAAAGTTGAAAAATTGTGGCAAATATTATAACCAACACTTAATTGAAAAAGATTGTAAAATATATTATTTTGAAGTTAAAAATAAATTATTAATTTTCAACTACATCAATATTGTTTTATTTTTTCTTATACTTTATAATATTATAAATATTTTAATTTCGCTTTCTTATCTATTAATTTATATAAGATTTGTTATGATATTGTAAATTTTTGAATTTTTAAAAAATTAGTTTGGTGCAATTATTGATAAAATGAAAAGATATTTTTGATCTCCTTAAATAGATGAATTTTGGTATATATCTCGTTACGAAATGAATAGAAAAACGTTGAGATTTATTATTAATGTTTAGATTCTATTAAGTATTGTGGTATTTATATGAATAAGAATTTTGCAATTGATTTCTAAATTTATTTTGTACCTATGTTTTGCAATGTGCTCATGCATATTTCGGTCTACATATGGCTGAAAACCAAACAAAACAGAAGAACACGCTATTTGTTTTTAAGAATAAAGATTTGTTTGTTGATATTTTAGAAAATTGGGTTTATAATTGTTGAAAAACTAGAACAGTTGGGTAATTAATACATCAAAAGATTCTAAACTAATTCTCTTTAAATGATTTTTTGAAGATACGTTAAAAAATATTTTGGTATATGGTTGGTTACCAAATGAATAATAAATCACTGTAATTTGTTATTAATGTTGATAAATAAGATTAAATTATACCATTATGACAAATATCATAATAAAATATCCATAATTGATTTTAAACTTCTATTTTGTAATTATAGTTGCAATCTTATCGTGCATATTCAAATAATAGTTTTGAAAATCAAATTATATTTAATAGACGTTTTTTGAAGACATTTTGTATGGTTGATTACCAAGAAAATAAAAAATTGTAGTGATTCGTTTAGCACTACCAAAGGTTGGAAGAAGGCTTTGTAACTAATATGAAGAATCAAATTTTTATTGCGATAATTATCACAAAATAATTTCAAAATTGATACCACTTCATTTATATAGAAAGCGTAATATTAACCGGATTACACGATTTACAACATGTAGATATAATTTAATTTTTATTTTTTTATAAATAGTAAAGTAATTTTTATTATATTTTATCTAATAGTAAGTCAACCTATTTAATTACAAAGTCAAAATTACTGTTTTAAATTATTCCATCGACTTATTTCAATATATATAGATATAGGTATAGATGTGATTTTACCTAATGGATGATTAACTTGTAACTAAAGATTTGAAATGATATATCCATGTTGCTATTAAATAAAAACAATATATACCTATAACTAATGAAATAAACTAATTAAACTAATCAATCAGTTGCAAAATGCGAAAAGAATTAAACTAATTGAATGGGAAAAAAATGCTAATAAAGAAGCGCACTTTCGCAAATAGGACCGCCACAGAATCTCCCTCAACCACCGTTTTCCATTTTCTCGTGAAAGAAAAACCCTTTTGTCTGCGTAAAATTTCCGAGAAGAGGAGCTGAGGGAAGAAGAACAGCTTCAAATCCATCCGATGGCCAACAGCAATTTGCCGCGCAGAATTATCAAGGTACGATCCTGATCTTTCACTTGCTATCTCGATCCCTTTTTTTACTTCAACTCTAAACCCTAGATTTTGAGGAGTTATTGTTTGGGTTATAGTTGATTTTGATTATTTCAGCTGTGATTGTGCTAATTGGATTATTGACGCGTTTCTTCTTTATTGGTTATATAGGAGACGCAGCGCCTTCTGAGTGAACCAGGTACACTCCTTGGATTTCAGCAGCCTTGAAGTAAATTTGTATGTGAATAATGAAATTGAGGATATAAGATAATGGATTAGTCGATACAAATGAATTTGGAATTTCTGAATGTTGCTGGTTCGTTTAGGACTGGCTAGCTTCACTGATGTATTTTCCGCACCTAGTAATTTCTCGGTCAATTGACATGGAAATGAAGCTTTCTGGGTGAAAATGTTTTCTCCTTCTTTCTCTCTTTGTTCATTGCTTATATTAGAATGAGGATTGACGATTGGATATTTGAGTGTCGGAGATCATTTTATGAGTTTGATGTGGTGGAGTCGTTGTGGGTGTATGAATGCAGCTCCAGGAATTAGTGCATCTCCATCTGAAGACAATATGCGATATTTCAATGTCATGATTCTTGGTCCAACGCAGTCTCCTTATGAAGGTAGCCTTAGCTTGCATTTTGACTGCAATAAATGTCCATGTTATAGTAGTGTCTGCTTGTTGTGCCTTCGTTCTCAGTGTTCTTGAAGTGGTGACATTTTATGTAACTTCTCGTTGTGAACACAGTATTCAACTGTTGACTATTGAACCATCTTTTGTATTGTGTTTCTAAATGAGTTTTATGTAGTTGCGATATTTCCAGATCGATTGGGACTCTATTGGTATCAGAACTTATTGTAGAAGTGCGTATGAGCTCAGTGTTACTCCACACATGACAATTATTTTATATAGTTTGGGATAGCTTTAGTTTTTATGTTATTCTAAAACTTCTAGTTTTAGAAAATCACCCAGTTGCTGAGCATTTCAGTTTTTCCTTTAAATCAAAATACAGGTCGACCATGCTATTCCAACTCTGAAGTGTGAAGTTCAAATATTGACTAAGTTTGTCTTCTTTGCTTAACAATTTTCTTTTGCACGCAATTTGAGGTCACATTGTTTACATGTTTAATGTAATTAAATAAATAAATAAATATTGCTTCATTATGGTGACTAGGTGTGATAGTGTGCTTACAATTATTGGCGACAATCAGATTCTAGTACACATTGAACATTTTAGAAGACATTTATGCTATCTCTTCTTCCCATGGGTATTGATAACAATATATAATATTTCATAACTAGCAGTCACTTTAAGTCATTTTATTTTGTGTTGGATCCCCGATAAAACATATTAGATATAACTGTATTTAGAATATGTGAGCTTTTGTTCTTTTGCCTTATGGTTGCATGGAAGATTATATGCTCTTTTCCCCTTTTTTCTATCTTACTTACAAGTAATACCATTTGTACCCGTTTCATCTCGTTGGTCTTACTTACAGGAGGGGTTTTTAAGCTGGAGCTGTTCTTACCTGAGGAATACCCCATGGCTGCTCCGAAGGTAGCTAATTTGAAATTATTTAGTATATTTTTTTATTTCCTATAGGGACACACATGGAATACGACTATCCTATAATTATTTGTCACATGCACCTTGGTTGTAGTGATCTTGTCTTACTGACATCTATGTACTTTGAGCCTATTCTATCAGTCAATATGAGTGCTATGCATTTTTATTGACCAATGCTTTGTGGATGTCATAGTTTGATACAGTTGGAAAATCTGTTCTGGAAAGGACCTTAATGTATTATATTGTTCTTGATATATTTTACTGAAGTAAATATGTTGCCATCATTTTCGCTATGTTAATATTCTTTTGTGGTTTTGAAGCTGTTGCTTTTGTAGTCAACATTTTGTTTGGTGGTCCACTACCATATTACGCCAATACCACCCATTTCTTTCACCCAAAACTATATGCTTGCCAAGCTTTGAGTTTCCAACTTCTACTCTTACCTGGAACTAATGATGGCTTAATTTGGCTTTTAAGTTTGTGTTCTCATTTACGAACTTGTTTAGTCCTAATGAGTCGTAGTCCAGTCAGTTGTCCAGCACTAGAATATATAGTTGTAAATTATAACTTATGAACTTCCAAGGATAAAACCCTGACCCTGTCACCCTATTGAGCAATTAAATTACCTGATCCATTCTCTTGCCTGGGTCCCTTTTGATAGATTTAGAGACATTAAATTTGTTCGTTCAACTGCTTGAGTCAAAGTATGTTGAAGGCTCGAATTGTTTACATCATGTGTTCATTTCAGAACACACTCTAATCATGGGTTTAAGCCAATCGATCTGAGCATTTGAGCCTGTGATTTCATTTCACAACTCAATTGTATGTTCTCCAATAATCAGAGCATTAGTTGCAACTTGGGGAAACAACATGCAGTAACTGTGTGGCTGCTAAATTGGCCTGTTTTTGTTTTTTATTGCGAGATGTTAATCCATTGAACTAAAAGTAGCTTTGCTTTGAAACAGGAATTATGTGTTGCGAACTTTAAAATGCTTTTCAGAAGTAAAATTCTATCCCTGTGTAGCTTGAAATACTTGCCTAACTGTTTTTAATCCAACGCCCGACAGGTTCGCTTCCTCACGAAAATCTACCACCCTAACATTGATAAGGTATGTTATTCCTAGTTTTGATCCCTTGCGTTTGTCCACTGGTTGCACATCTATAATGGTCTAATTGACTTGCAGCTTGGAAGGATATGCTTAGATATTCTCAAGGACAAATGGAGTCCGGCCCTTCAGATCAGAACTGTACTTTTGAGGTAACTTAAATGATTGAAGTATTTCCCATGTGGCAAGTTTCAATGAACGCTTCTATATATTTTCTTCTTTCAGTCTTTTGATTATGACTATTTATATTACATTTTTTATCGAAATATTTATTTATATTATTCTATTGCTTATTTTAGCATACAAGCACTTTTGAGTGCTCCAAATCCTGATGACCCACTCTCTGAGAACATTGCCAAGCATTGGAAATCGAATGAGTCTGAAGCTGTTGAAACAGGTGTGCTTTATTTCTCAACTCTAAGCACTAACTTACAAAAAATTAGTGAGCGATTGATTATCTATTTGTCCGTAATTTGAATAATTCATGAAGTCTTGGTGTTTATCGTGCAGCTAAAGAGTGGACGCGTTTATATGCAAGTGGTGCTTGAATGAAACATGGAACCTGGGTTTTTATTTTCCCCTAATAACTAAAGTTGTATTCTATCATCTGTCAAAGTAAAACATGGAAAGATTTGGAAGAATGACCAACTGTTCTTATTATTGGACTGTCGTTGAAAATGTGCAGATGATATAAAGTCACTTCTATTATGCTATGGCTTGTTATCTGGAAGTCTCTGGAACTGTTTTTTTTACCTTTTAGTCATTTGAAATTAGCTATTCCGTTTCATCGTGTTTTTGTTATGCATATTTTGTCAACAGATGATATGTCTATCTGTTGAATCAATACACATCCGTGATCCAATGCTAAAGGTTGATTATTGCACTACAGTTAATGGTGGGATCGTAAGCTTCCATAATAAATAACATATATAAAGTGTGCTTTCAACAGTTGAGCAACTGTACATTTACCTTTGACGAGAGGTGCTATTAGTACTATGACTATAAGGATTGGCAGATATTTAATGCCTTTAATTGTTATTTGGACAAAGTAGAAAACCATCTGTCACTACTTTGACTCACTTTACATCCGCTACACGGCAACACCACTTTCTCTCAATTACAATCAAATCACTTTTTCTTCAAATACAATTTCATCACTAGCATCTTTTCATGGTCTAAAAAAAGTAAAATACATCACTGTTAACTCTTGAATTATAGGCATTTTGTTGGCTTACAATGCGGAATGAAACATGAGATGAAATATGAAAATTGAGAAAGAGATATAGTCCCATTTGTGGGTCAGTCATCTTTAGTTTGGTTACGAATAATGTTAATTTGATGGTTATTCAAATTGAGAAATTGCTATAAACACTCGTTTTAGAGTCATGCTACATTTGCCATAATGGCCTCAACTCTTGAAACTCATGACACCAGCCTAAAGATTCTATATATTAAAGAGGATTGAAAATGAAAGAAACCATCAATATATATGCCACCATGTTCATCTTCCTTTCTCAATGATCCTCCAATATTGAAAAACTTCGTTCAAAAGCCAGCAAAATATTGAAAGGCGAAAATTTTTATACATGCTTCATCATACAAGATTCTCTTGAATAGAACGAAACGAACTCAATGGAAATAGTAAAGGGTAAAAAGATACAATGCTCCAAAAAGATTTAGGCGATGAATGTATAAGGATAGTAGGTGCAAGATGGAATCCGATGAATGAATGAATAATAAGAGGAAAAAAAATAATAATAATAATAAGGAAAAACATGTGAAAGGGAACTAACTAATGTCTTTGAACTCCAGTAGCACTTGACTGGTATAGCTCAAAATTATTAGCTGCACTAACCATATGAGCATAATTGGATTGGTAGAAATACTGTTCAAATACTGTAATGCCTCACAGACGACTCCAGAACGTCTCGACTTGGGCACACCATTTCCTTAACTCGGATACCCTTTCTGTAAATCTTGAATGTCGGCACTATTTTCACGTTCTCCGCATGTGCAATTGCAGGGCTCTCTTCAATATTTACCTGCAGTTAAAGATATTATTATATTCATGTGCATGTATATGAGAAAATACATATTAAGAATAAGGAATATTCACATTCAAAAATCCAAAGGTATTTAAGAATACTTTAAAAAGGAGAAAAAAAAATGAAGTTTGATATTGATCATGGATAACAACAATATTTCCACAAACATTAGGGGTTTTGTTGAAATGTATGTGGTTTAGAAAGAAAAATTGTTAAACAATATCAAATGAAAAAACCTCTGGGTTGTTCTTGCAACTTCTTCAATCAGGATTCTACTTTACTGAGAAAAAAATTATGTTTACTCACCATCAGAAAATTAACAGACGGATATCGGGTGCATAATACATCCAAGAAGGGTGATATCTGCTTGCACTGTGCATTGGAATCTGTCTTGAAATAAACGAGAGATGCACCTGCATTTTTTTTTTGAATTAGGATAGTTAAAAAAAACATTTGCACAGCAAATAAAAACCGAGTAAAGCGAAATGGGAAAACCCTCACCGGACGACAAAATCGAAGCACGAAATTGGTCGAGACCAGACACCGACTCAACTTCCCCACCGAATTTCATATTGTACACTTCCTCTCCACGTGATTTCCTAAGTGCAACTTGCGCATGAAATAGAGACTCGGCAACTTCATTGTCATCTGGGAGTTCCCTTCTCAAAACCTCATAATCCCTCACAGCTTCACTCCACCGTTCGAGCTGTAAAATGGAGATTCGATAAGCATGCAAACCATGAACAGAACTTTTTCTTAACATATAGTTAATTATAAAGCTAAAACAAAATAACCATCTTTGTTTCTTGATAGCATGCAGCCTTTTAACATTCATCCTCTATCCAAAAATAGCTTTCAAACATTTTAGAGTATCTGAAGCAGCATTGTGAGTTGGTATTTAATTTTGCCTAGGAAAAAACTGCTAGAAATTGTTCTCGACATATAATAAAAATTAGAACTGAAAAAATTATTTGGACTATAAAAAATTGCCTGAAGTTTTTCAAAGAAAAATTGAAGTCCACGCAATTGCTAATTTGTGTAACAAATATACAGCTTAATGAATGAGATCTCATAATTCTCTCACCTTGCTGTTAGACAAAGCCCTCCGAAGAAGAGCTTTAGTGTAATTAGGCTGGAAATGAAGAGCTTGATTGCAATCATCCACCGATTTTTCCCATTGACCGAGCTTATACCAACAAGCTGCTCGATTGCAGTACAGAACAGAATTCGAAGGGTTGAGCCTTAGACCTTCTCCATAAGCCGAGCAAGCCTCGGTGAACCTTTCTGACCGAAATAAATCATTTCCACGGGCACGAGCTCGGCAAACCAACTTCACATTGTTGACTAAACTTGAGATCTCAACATTGTGTGGGTCCATCTCTTTAGCTTTCTCTATAGCCGATAGACCACTTTCAAACCTTCAAAAAATATTCATAAAAATTGCATCATCATAAGTTGCTTCTTTCAATTTTAGCTGGATTAATCTCACAAGCTGCCGAAAAAATAACACAAGTTTAGCTAGCTCACCTTCCCTTTGACAATTCCACTTGGGTTCTGACAAATAATACATACGCTTCGGAATTCATCCCGAAAATCTTCTGGGGAGGATGAGGAGTAATGGATGGCTCAGATTTAGGAATGTTTGACATGGCCGAATGAGAATCATCAAGTTGGTGGAGCTTTAAGAGAGCTTCTGCCCTGCACGCACACAGCTGTAGAATTGAAATTCAGTCAGTTCAGCATGAATTTCCTTCGACTTTTTGAATAATAGAAAAGGGTTAGTCATGAAAAAACAATAGGATTAACCTTATAGTTATAGCATAATTATGAAAAAAAAAATAAAAAAATCAGACTTCACTAAGAAACTTCCATTTTCCTAACTTGCCATGAACTTCTCAATATTAATTAATATCCCTTATCAGACGAAAAAGGAAGTAAATTACTAATTTTTCAAATGCAGAGAGAACTAGGAGAAGCAAAACCTGTGGAGAAGCAATGGCTCCAGAGGTAATGGCAGCATCGACTTCCCTCAAAGTACTTCGCCAGTCACCGACTTTTCTGGCATCAGCACACCTGCTCAGATGCTTCTCCACTAACTGTAACTTTTGAAACTCAACAGGATCTGGTTGGTGACCTGAAAGACAAATGTGCTTCCTTGCATTTTCAACCTGTCCTAAACTGGTGTCATTCTTGGAGGAATTAGATTTCTTATTTGTTGTAATAAATGCTGAACAACATGAAAGTAAGAAAATCTAGAGCATAAAAGGAAACATGCCTAGGCAAATAAATACAGTAAAAATGGCTAATGTCGATCACAGAGCCATCGACAATTCATAATAACAATCAGCTATCTTAAATGCCTAGGCAAACGACAAGGTAAAAAACGACGAAAAAAAACTTATTTCGAACAATCAACACAAATTTAAATCGATGCCGGAACTAATTTCTAAGCCCACTCGAAACGAACACGTGAGACAGTCAATTATTAGGATCTAACACGTATCACTCAAAAAAACTTCCATCGCATTAATGTCAGAATCCTAATTCATAACTCCAAAACCATAATAACAATGACAAGCGTAAGGAACAAGATGAGGTCATCCAATCAACACTCAAATTTTATCATCAAAAGCTCACCTAAGGAACAAAGATCCCAACCGATGGTGTGCCTTCACGTACCCAGGCTCGAGCCTTATTGCCTCCTCACATTCTCTAACAGCCTCAACCAATCGCCTCAAACCCATCAATGCCGCTGCCCGATTGAAATGGTAGGCGGCATTAGCCGGAGAAATAGAAATTGCCTTGTCGTAAAAAGCCAAAGCTTCTGCAAAACGGCCATTCTTGTAGCTCTCATTCCCCATCTTCTTTAATTCTTCAGGATCACTATTATTATTACTACAAACCCCACTCGTCGTCCTTCTTCCCATATCCCCGCCAATCACGAGCCCTCTGGAGTAATTATTGGTGGGCCCATTATCAGTACCGGGCTTGGATGAAAGCCCGCCACCACGCATTATGCTGCCATGGCCGTAATTCAACGAGCCCGAACCAAGGACATCGGGCTTTGTGGCCCGGTTTGCTATGCAGGATTTAAGGACCCTGCCGGAAGGGCAGATGTTTCCGGTGGGGACCACGTTGGTAGGAGGGGAGCTGACGGAACCCGATCCGGTGAATAACATGTGGTGGGACCCACAGGAGCGGGACCTGGTGTGGCCCGGCCGGAAGCTCCGGGCAGCTGGCGACGGGGAACTCTCAACGGAAAGTTCGCCCGAGTGGCTGTTAGGGTCGGGACCGGATCTCCGGGGCAAATGCGAGTTGGGCACAGTAGAGGTCCGGCCCGTGACCGATCCGGATGAGCTGGAGCTGCTGCTGGTAGCGGTGACGGTGGTGGCCGCGGCGGTAGGAAGCCCGCCGGCGCTACGTGTTCGGAGCGGCGTTGCCGGCGAGAACAGATCGAGCTCCCGGAAGTCCGGCTTGTCGAGGCTGACGCCGCCGCCGTCCTTTTCTCCGCCGGCAAGAGTGTTCCTAAACCGATCCGAAAGCGCGTCCAGGGCTACTTCCGACATTGTTTTCGCCGAATGCGACGCCATTTTCAAACCACCAGATGCTCTAAACACCTCTGTAAGTCTCTCTCACTCACCTTCCTCTCCCGCCCGAGCTGAATTCTTCAAGACTAATAATATCTCAGCTATCTGGGCTACAAGAAAAGCGGAATAAATTGAAGGGGAGGAGAGATTGTGGCCTGTGGGGAAGGCATGAAGGGCTGCTTCGCAGGGGAAAAGGGAGAAAAGAAAAAAAAGAAAAAATCAATCTTTTTTGACTAACCCTTTTTAGAGAGAGAAAGGGAA